GCGCCCGACGAGGTGACAATTCCATTTAAGAATTGCGGGCATAGCTTTGTTATGGCCCATGACCATTCTAGCCCTCCATTCCGGCTAACAATGGCATAGTTATCTCTTCGTTACTGCCCTAGACTGTTTAGCGTTGTGGAATTAGTTTATACTTATCTGATAGTATTTCTTTCGGAATGGATCGTGGTTACACTGACATGTGGATTGATATCATCTTGAAATAGTTGCCATCTAAGTTTTTAATAAGTCTATATTTTAGTTATGCATTTATTTTGCTGGTACAACCAAAAATTTAACTAACAAATATATTAAATGTATTAAATTGGTTGTGTGCCAATGGTTTTTCTGCTCTCTGGAAAATAGAGTGTCTACTTAAATCCATTTTTACTTACAATGAATTAGACATCAAATGATTAATATTCCTTGTGTTATTAAGTATTTTAGGTGATCCAAATCCAGCGGCTTAAGAGCTTAAATGTGTTCCTTCGCATCAACGACTTAGGCCTCGTGAATGTATGGGTCGTCAAAGGATACACTCCACTAAATTGTGCCCACGGCGAGCTGCAACTGTAGTCATATATGTAGTTCTGGTAACGAATTGCCTTCTTCACGAGTTTATGTAGACATTTACATAAAGGTCTTTATTATCGGGGCTGCACAGAAGCTGCGCAGTCGAAGGGCAATGAACTTTTGTTTTCGCAGGACACCTTCAAGCAATGGAGTTCAGCAGCTCAGTAGCTCAGGAGTTTAGGAGCTCAGGTGTCGGGTGTACCGTGTGCTGCAAATTAAGTGCGATTAGTCAGCCAACGGGTTGTCACGGATGCCCCGGGGCATTTGCATAAGCAGGATGCTCCCCGGGGGCCGGTCCGCTGAAATGGCTGCTCTCTGGTCCCTGGACAAAATCAATTTCTGTAGTTAATAAGCCTGCACCCCGCTGCGGATCAAGCTGCGTGCTCTTTTCACCAGGGGCCGCCGGGATGCGGGCGAGTGGATGTGTCCGTGCCACCGGGGGATGTAATTAAATGGATGTGTTTAGAGGTCCTGCGGCGCATTGTGTTGCGAGCTACTGCTGCTGCTGCTGCGGCGGCTTCTGCCGCTCCTGCCGCTCCTGAGATCCTTGGGCTAATGCACTGGCTGCCCGCTGATGTTGCATAAATTAATTGATTTATCAAGTGCACGCCGGCCGGCTACGTCTTAATTAGCATTTTCTGTTTGTGGCGGCCCACAACGCGTATACGCAATTAGTACATATTTGCCTCGTTAATTACCGGCCATGTACGCATTAGATAACATGCTACACGTGGCCCGGCTGCGTTTTGAGGATTTATTGCATAAGGGTCTTGACCAGAGCTGCTGGCCAAGGCAGCTAGCACCTCCATCTGGTTAACGACCCATAAATCTAAAGACTCTCGCCTCGGCACATAAATATCCCCAATTCGACGCAATAAAATAAGATGTCCATGTAATGCGTTCTCAAAAATGTAGAAAAATCAATTTTTCTCCATATTCCAAATATATATACACGAATGAGCATTTAGTTTTTTCAAACCCATATTGTGAGGGCTGGCAAACATTTATTTAGCTAAACTACTGCAAATTTTGGCCAAAAAGCAAACTGCTCAAACTACCAACGAAACTCCAGTTTTGCGGCTGCCAATTGAAATGCTTTTCGCATTGAATTGTTTTGAAAGTGCTAATGGGATTAAGAGATCCTGAATGGCTAAGAGGATGATGATGATGAGCTCGGATGGTGCATTCGGTTGAAGCAGGGGGATATTGCGATAAAATAATACCTTGTTATATTATTTAAGCTGGTTTATTTAATGGCATTAAATGCGGCCCATTTTGTTTTAGACTAGGGTTTCATATTAAAAATGCCTGTGTGTGTGTGTTTTTAAATTCCAAGTAAAATTGTGCCGTTCAGCTTATGACAATCAGTTTGATTGCAAAAATGTGTTGCGAATGGCAAGGTCGAGAAAAAACACATACGAGTATTTCGACCGCATCTGTTGATATAACGTTTTTCCTGTACGCACATCTGTGTGTATGACCATAAAACAGTGATACAGCATCTCTGCCTGTCACTCTGTTGATGCATTGAATGGCCAAAAGGCTTGGCAAAAGTGATGAAATGGTCGCCGAATACATGACAAAAAAAAAAAAAAAAAACAGGGCCTACCACCTGTTTGGCTTACAGCGCTAATCCATCAATGGCAACAAGGCAGAAAGTGCCAACAGCAGCTTCGAGTGCTTTGGCCCAGTGTAAACACAGTGGCGCAAAAAATAAACCCAATAAAATTGCCAATGCTTTTGTTTAGAAAAGCAAGAACAACGAGCCACCGGCTCCATTAAAATACATATTCGAAAAGCCCTAAAAATCCATTCATTCAGGTGGGTCGTAAAAGCGCGAATGGCCGCAATGCCCCAAAAACCAACCACCACCCACCACCCACCCATCAACCACACACACACATATGAGCAGGGGAAATGGCCTTCCATCATTCATCGATTGGGGATGTAGATTTGCGGCACTCTGTAATATCCTGCAATCGAAGTTGGTTTTCCTTTTATTCCGATTCCATGCCGTACACTGTACTTCCCCCATGTGCTCCGTTTTATTTATGCCCGTATTCTTACAGTTCAATAAAGTTTAATAAATTCAGCGACCAGCAAGTGGATTTTCCTGATAAGCACAGACGGATCAAACAAATTAAAGTCCTTAGCCTGCCAGGCATCCTGGGGCATCCTGTCGCATCCGAGAGATGCAAAAACAGATGCTTTCGACTGGCTTACAGGTTCTGAGTCCTAAATCCGACAGTTTCAGCGGGCAGAAGGTCAAAGGAGCACGATGATGGACGAGGGGGTCGGGATCGAAAACATACATATCTCAAGGTCATCGAAGCCCCACATGTAATCGCCTTCCCGTAGTTGTAAAATGTGGGTTGATGGCTTTCCGAATTCAAACCTAATTTAAACGCCATATTTCTCTGAATTTATATAAAATGGAAGTTGGTGTCTAAAATGGTTTAAAATGTAAGCCAACAATATACATTTAAAGACTCCGATGTATATTGGTATTTTTATATAGTATTGTCAATTGTGGTTAACTTCTTAATGTTCACTTTTGCTTAAGTTATTTAAAACAAATAACTTACAAATTGATTCAACCATAAGTATGTTTCGAATAATATCCAGAAATATTTAGGAATTTATAATGTCCATTTTAGCATTCACATCAATAATTGTTACGCCTACATTTGAAGTGCCAAATTCCTTTTAAATCACAGATACAATTTGAACTCCAAGGAATGCGTCACTTAATCTGCAGGGACAGTAGAAGGACCTCTGCTCGTCCTTCTTTTCATTCAGCCTGATAACCATTGTCATCGACAGCAATCGATTTGGGTTTTTTTTCAGAGAGCTGCCCTTCATTTGACTTGTCTGCCGTTCCGGATTCATATCTATATCTAAATAATGGGATGTCACTTTTAATTTGAGCGCCGATTAATATGCCTAGTCAGTGGACTACCCTCAGTCGCTGAATATCCTCTGTTCGCAGTTCCAATAAAAAGCAGGATGGAGGAAGAGACAAAAGCTGCAGGATTTAAGGCGTTTCGACGTCTTCATTGTGCTTATCAGATTCGGGGGTGAAACACACACTCTCGGGTATTTTACTTTGCACTATGGATAGCTTGGATACTCCCACTCGTTCATTGTTTGTTTTAGAGGGACAATTAGCCGAGTAGTCCCCACAGTTTAATTGTTATAAATGCCAAGGCTGAATGTGAATTAAGTAATATTTATGGGAGGCAGTGAAGGGATATCGGGACGCCAAAGAACTCTTCCCACGCATCAAAGGATCATTAATTACACTGGATTTTGCACTCGAACAGCTGACTCAGTGGCACCACGTGGGCATTGCTCTCTAGTCCGTCGCCACATCCGAGTCCTGGCTATCCTCTTACCATTAATCTCATGCACAGAGCAGTGAAAGAGCAGCTGCTGGATAGTCCTGGTTGTGATTTCAATTAAGCACCCAGAAAGGGGCGCAAAAACCAAGTTATGAAGATAAATGTCACTCGTCAAGTGGCAATCAATTAGTTAATGCTTTCAGGACCCACGGGCCAAACACACGTACATATCCTCGTACATAGTTTGCCCCGTCGCCTCAAGGCAGCCGAAAAACTTCTGAGGCTCTGCGTTCGCTAGAGTTCGTGTTTGTCACAGAAATTATTCAATTACCAAATTAAATTTAATGCCTTGTACTCGAAGGAGGTCGAAGGACGCAGCCAGCTCGCTTTTGATCCCACTAAAAGCTTTAATAACTGCAAATTGCTTTCACAAATTTGTCTTCGAACAGGAAAAGCTGAAAAACGAGGGGCTGTGTGCTGGGCTGGGCTGGGCTTAGATGGGCGGAAAATGGAAAATGGGGCAGCAGCCCGCATACCTGGGCAAACATTTTTCTCATTTCGGTGTCGCATCCCCCGCCCGTGACCAAATATTTAAAGGCATTCGACGTGAGCGGCACTTTCAGTTCGGAGTTCGAGTTCGATGGCGCAAAGGCCAAAACGAACCATTATCGACTTTTTTGTCCCCCTGCATTCCACATTAATGTCTCTATCTACCTGATGCCGAGCATCAGAAATCCAATTATATTCACTTTATGTACAAAAAGCTCCTGCAGCCGGGCAAAGTGAATCCCTGAATGGGGAACCCTCTGGCCTGAACCATTAACTAATTCCGAAATCCGCTTAAAAATTTAATTTTGTTCACCTTGTAAAAGGGCTGCCAGGGGGAAGGGGGGTGCTGAATCGGCTTACTTAGTCACCTTTTCACTGCGTGCCATAAACTCTATTGGACCAAAAAAGATGCTTATTCGATCTTAGGTTAAAGGGTCTTCTTTTTGGTCATTTCAAGTCTTCAACTAGTGAAAGCTGAGAGTTATAAGGCTAACAGATCAAGTAGCTTACGTTTTTGTGTCGTTCAGATCAGTAGTCGTATTAAGGAATACGAACAGATAATAAGCACAGACGCATTCCAAGTATTATAAAGCCAATTACATAAAATGTGGCATGAGTTTGTAGTCTTGTGTCTGGGCCACTCGGACTCGGTGGTGGAGTTAGCTTATAATACGGACTACGATAATGGGTACCTACTGGCCTCAGCCGGGCTGGATGGAGTTGCAACACTGAGGCACGGCGACACTGGCAACTGGATTACCAACCTAACAAAGCACACGGACAGTGTGTGGTCGGTGTCCTTGAGCAACGATGCCAAGATCCTGGCCAGCGGCGGTGCAGACTGCAAAGTTCGAATCTGGGATGCACTGCTGGGCAAGCAGCTAAAGAAGCTAACGCATGCCAATACAGTGGCGTGTGTGGACTTGAATCCGCAGGCCACTCGCCTGGTGACCGGCTGCATCGATGAGAAATCCTCACTCGCCCTCTTCGACATGGAACAATCGGACAAAGCTCCCCTGATGGAGTTCCATGGCCACAAGCGCGGTGTGAGGGATGTGACCTTCTGTGTGGACGAACGCTGCATCCTCTCCGCTTCCTATGATCGCACGGTGAGGATGTGGGACTGCCAGAGCGGCAAGAGAACGAACTCCATTTTCCTGCCGCACCACGTCAAGTCAATGGAGCTGCACCACAGCGGCAATATAGTGACCATTGCCTATGCCGGCGGTGTGATCTTCCTGGACCCCAAGAGACTCCAAGTGCTCAAGCACCGCAAATTTCCCTACAAGGTGACTGCGGCCTCGCTGAGTCCCAACAAGGATATCTACGTGTGCGGCAACAGGAAGGGCTACTCCTACAAGTACGACTATGCCACCGATGTGAATATGCAGCTCTTCGTATCTGAGAAACCATCCGCTGTGCTGGCACTGAGATTCAGTCCGGATGGCGAAGTGTGTGCCATTGGCTTCGCAGATGGCAGTGTCATTCTCTGGCGAATGAACCAGAAAAGGTCATCCGAAGATGAAGCGGATGTGGAGGAGAATGAATCCATCAGTTGAATACGGAATATCACACCCCACGCACAACTGTACACCGTTTTGATTTCAGTTCTCATCTTGGTTAACTTATTTTTATTTTTTTTTCATTCTGTTGCATCGTTCTCCAACATCAAAATCCGAGATGGGTCACTGTTTATTTTTCCTACTAATAAATTCGTCTTGTGATTGAAAATACTAAGTGAAATACTAAATACTTCGTATTGAAATGTATAATGTATTAGAATTTTAGTATTTTAAGTTTGTCTTTGATCTCTCTTTAAAATGTTGGATGTCAATTTTTGTAATTTTTGACTATAAGTATAAATAAGTATAATAAGTATAGTATAAGTATAAATGAACTTAGTAAACCTATTTGGGGTAATAAAGTACTTTCATATAAATTAGTATATTTTTGGGCGGTAAATGTTCTGCTAGTCTATAACTTGACAAAAATGCAAAAGCTTAAGCTTAAAATAGAAATGTCCCGAGTGTAAATTTTCAAGAACTTACAACCGTGATGGTTAAGATACTTTTATGAAAGAGAAAAACAGTCTCTTTTCACTAACTTAGCTTTTTGCAAGCTTCGTTGACACGATCATGGTTGGGAGCTCTTCTGAGAGCATGGAAGAACTCGATGAGCTTTTGGAGCTCCGACAACGTCAACAATCAACTTGTTTGTCTCTCTTGAATATTTCAGTTGCTTTTGTACCCTCAGCTAAGCCGGTTGCCTTTTAGTTAAGCGAGAAAGTAAATGAAGTGGCATAATATTTGTGTTTCTATTAGTTCGTTGGTCACACAAATAAGTAATTAACCAATCTATTTTAGCTGCTTGTACAATGTCGGCCAAGCCCATCCTCTACTACGCCCCCCGCAGCCCCCCCTGTCGAGCTGTTCTGCTGACTGCCGCCGCCCTTGGTTTGGAGTTGGAATTGCGGTGAGTTGTACCCCCCTTCCCCGCTCAATCGCACTAGCTGATGAACAGAAACCGGTCTCCCCCGCGACCACTCTCTTCATTAACCCTCCACTGGGGCAGTAGGGTCTTGAAAGCGCTGCGCTTAATATGCTGGCCATTTATTATTTAATAATTCAACACTAAGGTACTTAGCTCGGATAGCAGATGGTGGGATTACACTGTCACATAATAAGAAACGTCGTCTTTAATAACGTTTTCTAACAGTTGATTGCTCCAAAACAATAGAAGGAATACCTAAAGATGAACAAATTTAAAAGCTGTTCATGAAATGGGTAAACCATGAAGTCTTATGGCAAACTAATGGTTAAACGACTCTCTGTTCTTTTGCCCCCTGTTCTCTCGTTCCGCAGCTACCTCGCTCACTTTCTCTTTTGCCCTCTCTTCCAGGCTGGTCAACGTAAAGGCCGAAGAGCACAAGTCCGCCGAGTTCCTCAAGTTGAATGCGCAGCACACGATCCCCGTGCTGGATGACAATGGCACTATCGTGAGCGATTCGCACATTATCTGCGGCTATCTGGCGGATAAGTACGCTCCGGCGGGCGATGACTCCCTGTACCCGAAGGATCCGGAGAAGCGTCGCCTGGTGGATGCCCGTTTGTACTACGATTGCGGTCACCTGTTCCCGCGAGTCCGATTCATTGTGGAGCCGGTGATCTACTTCGGAGTTGGCGAGGTGCCCGCCGATCGAGTGGCCTACCTTCAGAAGGCCTACGATGGCCTGGAGCACTGCCTGGCTGGCGGAGATTACCTGGTGGGCGACAAGCTGACCATCGCCGATCTCAGCTGCATTGCATCGGTGTCCACGGCCGAGGCTTTCGCGCCCATCGCGGCGGATCAGTTCCCCCGCCTGGTGCAATGGGTCCAGCGCATTCAGGCCATTCCATACTACCAGAAGAACAACCAGGAAGGTCTGGATATGTTGGTGGGACTGGTCAAGGGACTTCTGGCCGAGCGCCAGCACAAGTAATCGGCATTAAGGCTTTGCAGAAGATTTATCCTAATATAATCGCATTTAATTCGAAATCTTGAACTCTTTTTATTCCTGCTATAACCAATACTAAGCTTTAATTCGGCACATAAAACAAACGGAACCGATTTAAGAACGCACGATGCCAGTAAATCCATCTGAAACAATCAATCAATACTGCGCGTAATAAAAACATGAGTTCCATGAGACAGCAGCCAGGACGATGAATCAAGGCCGAACAGCAAACAATAACAGGAGATGTGATACTGTGGGTTGGGGATATTTGGGTGGCTGGTTGGGGGGGCGGCTGAAGGTGAGACGGGAATAGAATCGGAGACAAGGACAGCGACTGCGACAGTTATGTGCAGCTGGTCGAAAAGTAATGGCAAAACTTTTTTATGGGGAAAATGGGAAAATGCCACGACGAGGAAGCAACCAGTAACCTGAACTTTCCCATGGACTGTGTGTGAAATTCAAGCCAGAAAGTTTTCCGGGCTCCGCTCGGCTCCTGGCCATTGTTGTTGTTTGTTTGACTTGTCGGTGTTTGGCGGCGTTTCTCGTTATTGATTACAAGCTGTAAGTGATCGCATTTATAGTTGTTAAAGCTTCTTTTGGCTTTGGCTGTTGCGGCATCCTCTTGACTTTCCTGACGGCTTTTGGTCTGCCATTGGCTTTGGCCACTTGAACGGAAATAACGCGGATTTTCTTGCAGCTGAAGTCTATTTAAAGTTGCTTGCCCACTTTGACGTGGAAGTCATTTGTTCTGTGCACTCGAAACGGTTTGTTGAAGATGTTATGTTACAAACTTGAATATTTATATCTATATTCAAGAACATTATATTTAAGAATATAATATAATTATTTTTATATTTAAGAAGTCTATATTTTAGAACCTGTCTATTATGGCTTGACATACCTTTTAAGCTGCTTAGCGTCTGCATTAATGTTTCAGTCCTATGTTCTACGCCTAATTGCTCATCCTGGGGTACATTTTTTCCTTCATCCGTTCGCCACAAGTAGTGCAAGTTTGGCCAATAAATGTGTGGAAATCCCTTCCGCACATGTTTGAAATGCAGTAAGTGCAGCCCAGCTAGAGGAGCTGACTTTTCGCACACATTTCGCCTTGATGCACTCGGATGTGGCTGACGACTTTTCGCCAACGTGATGTGACACTTCACTCTGCACTTATGGCCGCCAGTCCTTGTCGATCAGAAGTGGCGACACGCGGCGCGCCGGGTGCATCCAGTAGTATCAGGTATCCAGCACCCAGACCCCACTAACCAACAGCCATCAGCCATTGGACATCAGCCATCGGGCATCAGCGGCAGGGAGGCGCTCCGTTCCGATTGAAGTGCAACACTGCGGGACAAAAGTTTTGCCGCCGAGGAGCAGCGGTCCGTGGAACTGGGTTTCGGCCACATTTTCATCATGCTTTTTTCACAGTTTTCAAATGCCATTAACTGTGCGGCGCGGGACGTTGGGAAGCAAGGACTTTTACTTTTTCCCTTTCTCGGGGCGGCGAGCGTGTTTTTGGGATTAAAATTTAATGCCGCAAAAGGAAAAAGGCAACCTAAGCGCGTGCCAGGAGCGTTAAGTAAACCGGGGCCAAAACTGTAGCTAGCCATGATTAATGATGCCTTTTTCGGTGGCCAGGACACAAGCAGGGCAGGACAGCAGGACGCCACAACACCAGGACCTTCGCCCATTTCCGGTTCGTTTAAAGTTGAAACGTCGCCGGCCATCTGTTTGCTGCCTTCTGCCGGGTCGCTTCATTGTTTGCTCTGCGGTTGCGGTTTGTTTAACAATGAAATTAACTTCTCACTGTGCCAAGGTCCAGCCAGCAATTGCCAACAGAATTCAATATTTCGCTGGTATTTAGAATTTGGCATTCGGCCATGAAGCGGGCTCATTAAACTAATTGGAATACGCATTTATTGTGCGCAAATCACAATCTGACCAATTACCAATGAGCCAAACAAAGCTAATCAACGTTAACGATTTGGAAGTTTGATATATAATTCTGGCATAATTTGGCCATGGGTTTCCAACACAGTGATGGCACTTGTTGTACCTTCGCAAGGCAATACATGTTGCACGAATGAAACTTTATTGAAAATCCTTATTGTTAATCTGCTTCTTTTATAAGCAACTACACGTGTTATTATTGGTACGGACCTGGCAAAATCGAGTAATGCCTTGTCGCCTAAGAGGTAATCCGCACAGAACTGTGTGCAAATTGGCATATCATCATAGGTATTTGCCATCACTGCGTCGACTGGAGTGGGCCACTTGGCGTCGACATGGTTCTGCTCTTCAAATGGATGGACAACGGGAAGGGAGGACTCTCGTGGGGAATTCATGTCTCCACTCGATGGCCGGACAAGGAGCGTTGATGGGCGCACTCTTCGTGTTTCATGTTCGTGTTCGATGTCCGGCCTTCAGTTCCGATTCGATGTGTATTCCGACACTGGCACTCAACAATTGACAGGAACAGGCTGGCTGAAAGCCCGCCGTACATAATGCTCGAGATGCCCACTTAAGTGGGCGGGGGGTTTGGTGCGCAGTGCGCACTAATCACCGGGCAATGAAACTAAATCTGTTTTGAAAAACTAACCCAAGCAGCCCGTAACGAGCGAGTGCATTTGTGAGTGTGCCAGTGCAATGAGTGGCGATTATCCTGCTCAACTGTCCTGTCCGTCCGTCTGTCCGCCTGGTTGTCCTTCGGAAAGCTGGCTGCCTGTCTGGCCGGCTCCTGATAAACGGCCGCACAAACTTGTGCGCTTTTGTGCCGAGGCCTGCCATTCAAACGGGGCCAGGTCGCAGCGAGAGCATCCTGCGAGAACATCCTGCGAGCGCCAGGACTCCGGCCTCCCGGTCTCGATGCATGTTGATTAAGTGCTCGCCGCCATTCGAATGCCGTCTGCTGACAGCAGCAACATTTGCATTTGCATAATTGGATATGTACGAACGCAGCCAAGTTGATCTGTAACTGCAGAATCCCAGTTCTCCGGTCCGAGTGCAGAGCAAACTTTCCCATTGCCGTTGACATGTCAGTGCGCTTTCATTTAATCAATATCGGATGCAGCGGAGGGCTGGGAAGTGCATATGCAGATAGGTAAGTGTA